AATAACATATATGATATAAAATTATATACGTATTTTTAAAATAACCCACTGTGCCCACAATCCCCCTATACTTTGCACCTCTTTCTGCTGCTCATACTAAAGCTTCCTCTCTCCCTATTCAAAGCCACTCAAGAAGTGCTTTTCTTGCATCTTTCAACAAGAACCATAAATCTGTATTTTTCTGCAGAAAGCAAGTGACTGTGCAGTACTTTTCCAGACACCCTACACAGCTTTGCCAGTGCCCCTAAAGCACATACAAGTTCAGAAAAATCCAACTATTTAAATTTCATACCCACCCCCTTCTGCCGAAGTCGCTTGGTTTCTCCTTTTGCGAGGACAGGAGCTACAGCACTGTCTTCCTTGCAAGGAGGACAAGGAGTTATTATTAAACAAGCACGGAGACCCTCAGGTCAAAGAGAGCAAACCCCTCAGGACACACCACGTCTCACAGGACACTGATGGCACTAGGTTGAACACCAGTTCCCTGAAGCAGGTCTCAATCCTCTCTTTGCACCTACCAGTGCCTGCTCTATGCTAATGTTACCTGCACTGCTCGTGTTACTGGATTTCAGCACAGGTGGTGGTGTGACATGGTTGGCAATGGCTGTGGAAGAAGGTGGAGGTATAGGAGGGACTGCAATTTTGCCTCCTGGTGGGGGTGGCAGCAGACTTAAGCCCCCTGATCCAGACACACGGGGCTTGGCTGCTCCTCCTTTCTTTGTCGTCATGTTCTGTATAAAGAGAAAGGACAAGTGAGGAAGAGTCTCCACTGGTATATCCAGAGAAAGAAGCAGGGTCAACTGGGCTGCTTACCCCTATGTTCAGTTTGATGGTCTGTCCTTCCTTAAACCCTAAGTCTAATTTGGGACGCGTGTCAGCTTCCTGGGACTCCTTGGAGATCTCGGTCTCCTGCTTCACCCACCTAAGAAGAAGAGAGGAAGACATAAGACCCTGTGGCAAAGGGGAACAGGGTTTCAGAAAAATGCATGATTCCTCTCCCCATCCCACCAAAGAACTACCTTGCCTTGTCAAACCAGCTACCTCCCTACTCCCAGTGTAGCACAGCAAAAAGCTGGGACCACCACAAACCCAACAGACTGTCTAACACTGCACCTGCAGCATTACAGGACCTAAGCTTAAGACTTACAGATCTGACTCTGCAGGACTCTCGGCTTGCATGACAGCTGGCAGCACACTCAAGTATCCCTGACAGAGCCAGAGTATGGCTTCACGACCATCCCAATGAAGCCTGTGCTAAATGAACATGCACCACCACCTGCCATGTGCTACAGGTCAGAGGAAAAAGAGCATTCCAGAAAAGCACAACTCACTTGAAGTGATCCTGCAAAGAGACGTTGAAGTCAAAGGCATCACCACGATCCGTGAAGCCAATGCCTATAAAAGCACTTCGTCCTAGCAAGGAGACAGGAGGAGTCATTGGAGGTGCCCTGCAAATTGGCCTTTGTGTTCATTCACTCCAAAATCCTTCTGCTTCTCCTAAACCACTCCGTGCTACCTCCCTCTGACACACTGCAGCTGGACACCAGCAGCTCACAGCAGCTGACTGTTCCCAGCCTTCAGGACGCACCCTGTTTCCCATGTGGCACTCTTGGAAACTGAATGTTCCTTCCCAGCCCCTGGACTCTGTGCAGTGTAGAGAACCCTCCTCTGTTAACCTTGCCTTCCTGCTCCTCCAGGACTCTACCCAGCCCTTTCAGCACTCCCCACACCATTTGAATCCACCTGGCATACACCCAGTTCCATCAGGCTAAGTCGCCACCCCTAATGCTTGGCACATACACGATCCTTCAACTCACCAGTCCCATCCTGAATTCGAATGACAAAATAGCGGCTGGAATCTGTCACAGTCTCTACTGCGATGCCAGGGTACTGATCTATAGGAGCCTGGGCAAAGAGTTCTCCTACAGATAAAGAATCGACTGTTAAGGAGAGCAATCTCTTGCTGAAGTGTGGCCAGGGCTGCCATGCACAGCTCTGAGCAGGCTTAGAGGCACAGGCTCAGAAGCAGCAATCATAGTCACAGTCTTGCCAAGCCAGAGCCTTTGCCTTACCTGAAACCTTATCCTCCAGTTTTATGTATGCAGTTTTGCCTTTGGAGGTGACACGAAGCCGCCCCGTCCAGTCTGGATGGTCCAGTTTCCAGTCAGATGCCCTGAAAAGAAAAGCAACTGTTTGCTCACCATACATCAACCCCTGCACTTCTGCCCAACCATCTCAGCAAAAGTCTCTGCTCCCAAACCTTCAACACCTGCAGCTGCCTTATTCCTCTTCTCTCCCCAAACAATATGAGACCTCAGTTCCTCTCTGCTGCTGCCAGTTGATGCACATGGCTCTGACTGGCCTCTCTTTCCTCTGGGTAAAGGAAAATAGCTACAGTACAGAGAACATCAACTCTGTCTTTACCTTTATAAGCTTGCAGAAGAGGAGAAACCAAAACCAAGAAACTCACTTGGAACAGTAAACCCCAAAGCAACCAATATGTGACCTGTAAGCACCAGGAAGACCCTAAAAATTAATTAACAAGCACATCAAAAAGCCACTCCATTATTCAACCTTATTGTTGTAAAATAACATCAAGTACTTCTGAACCTAGAGGCAACTAGCTTACACTAAGTAAAACATCACACACAGCCATTTTGACTAGCCCATCAAACTCCTTGCTGCAGACTGTTGTATAAAAAAAAAAAAAAAAAAAAAAAGGCGACAAAACCCCAACCTACAGGATTTTACAACTGGAAACAAACACCTGTGGCCAGGCCCATGATTAACAGAGCAGCCCCTGCTCCTCCACAGCATGAGGTGAAGGCTCCCGCTTCCAGGCACAGACCTCCTGCAAGAGGCAGC